CAAATCATTCAATTAGCCTACAAAATCAAGGGAATCTTGCACAAAACCATTAAATTCACTTTTAACTCTCTTATTCACAAAACTAAAGCAAAAATATGAGTTCAAGCTAGTTTCTAAGTCTTAAAGGTTGCTTTTGGTATCAATTTTAAGCATAAAAATAACGGTTTTTCAATCGTTATCAGGTGGGGAGTTGTCGCTCTGGTGGACGTCCTCTCCTTGACATAGTTTTGGAGGTAACCTGCTCGGATGAGTCTTTCCAACTCATCTTTCACCATGTTACACTCTTCTTTATCGTGACCGTGGTTCATATGAAGGCGACATGCCTTACTATTGTCCGCATTCTTCGGAGTGGCTTTTCGTCGGACAGTCAGGAGTTCAGCGTGCAAAGCCTCTTCAAGCACCTTTGTCCTAGGTGCGTTGAGTGATGTGTAGCGATCGTACTTGGATGTCCACCGTGATTCTTTTTGGGGTGGTCGATCTGTTTTATAGTCACTGGTCGACCGTTTTGTGGTTTTCTTAGCCTCTTGGTTTGGGCTATCCTGTTGTTGTTTCTTTCTGGAATTTCGGAGATCTTCAATTCGGATGAATTTTGCAATTGTGGATTGGAGTTCCTCCATGGACGTTGGCGGGTCAGCATACAATTGTTCCGCGAAATGGCCCGGCCTTAAGCACGAAGGCAGATTGTTGATAATGAAGGTATGGTTTACGTCCTTCACACGTCGGGCCGTCTCATTGTATCTTTGCATGAAAGCCTTGAGGGTTTCATCATTCTCCTGCTTAGTATTTACGAGCTCAGCAGGAGTCATCTCCGGTTTTCTGTTGGTAGCGTATTGTTTTTGGAACAACGTCTCAACAGTAGCGAAACAATCTACTGAATTTTGAGGAAGAGTGTGGAACCACTCGAGTGCCTCATCCTTAAGGGATAATGAGAAAGCTCTGCAAATGACGGGGTCCTTGTCCGTGTAGAATGCCATGGCATCTATAAAGTTTCGGAGATGATTGTCGGGATCGGCGGAGCCATCATAGCGTTCTAACGTTGGGGGTGGCTTTTCCGACATATGTGCTTGCATGATGGCTTCCGTGAACGGAAGCAAGTTGGTGAGGCGCATCGAAGTGGGCCCCTTCCTTCCTCCGCCCATAGGTTCGGACGGTCCTCCATGGTGGCTTCCTTCGTTATCGTCCTGTCGGTTGGATGCCGCCAACTCCTCGGTGCCGCCAACTCCTCGGTTTGTTTGCATTGAATTTCCTATTGTTCCTTTATAGTTTGCACCTGCGCCTCGATCTGGGCTTGCAGTTGCTTGATCAAATCGCGGGTGCTTGCGTCTTCCATGGCTCCGGTGGTCGTCGTTGGGATATCAAACCTCGGCCCCACGGTGGGCGCCAAAATGTTTCGGTAAATTATTTGAGGCCGAGATACGAGCTTACTGAATCTTCACTGCTCCTTCCAGTTGTGTTGTTGTTGTCGCCTATCCTTCTTGTATGAAGCTCTTTGAAGGAAAATGGGCTGGCTACCTGCAAAGGCACTCCGACGCTCAAGTTAGAAAAGGGTGGACCGAACCTCTTTTAGTTCAAAAAGGAAGAAGAAGATTAATATTCTCTTTCTTAATTTCTTTCTATGGGAAAAACGTACCTTTCTTCTTTCAGTCTTTTCATATTTATCCTAGTAATCAAAAATAAACCGTTTACCTTAAAATCCGGTTGGTTGAGAATCTGACTTTCTGGAAAATACAACCGTTAAGTCTTACTTGATAATGGGTTAGTTGACTCCGTGATCCGCTTCGTTATAACCGGATACATCCAACCGCTTGCTTCTTAACTTCTCAGGATTACGGTGTCAGTTTTGACTAAAATTGACCGAGTGCCTTTTAGTTCAATCATTAGACGATCGTTATACAACGATCGTTTTTGATGATTTATGATAACATTGACTGAGCTCCCTTAAGTTCAATTATTAGACGATCGTTAAACAACGATCGCTTATAATGATTGATGTCAAGGGCAATGACGAGCCACATGAGATATCTCTAAACGATCGTTCCTCTTAATAAGTAGACGATCGTTTGGAGTCGTCCGTAAACTGCTTATCTTTAGTGGTCGCCTGTGTTATTAGTCGATCGGCTCAGGTAATCTACCATATAGATATTATATTCTTGTATCTAAATAATGACTTAGTCTGAATGTGATAAATATAATGTGTTATTTCTATGATGGTTCTATGTTTTTTTTAAGTTTAATATGTAAAAGGAAACAAAAACAAAAAAAAATTATTTTAGAAAAACCCTTACAGTAGACTTTGGTTATAACCAAAATCAAAACATAAAAAGGATATTATTATTAGGATTAAATATGTTTTTAGTCCCTAAACTATCAAGCGAATTTGTTTTTAATCCCTCTTTCAATGTAAGGTACATTTTAGTCCTTCTATTTAAAAAAAGTGTTAATTTTTTATCCTCCCACTGTGAGTTTTGGAGGACCAAAAATTAAGACTTTTTGGAAGGAGGAGGACTAAAATGTACCTTACGAAATAGAGACTAAAAACAAATTTGCTTGATAGTTTAGGAACTAAACACATATTTAATCCTTATTATTATTATTATTATGAAGCTTAATACTCTTCGTGATTTAAAAATATTATTTAATTTTAAGAATATTACATTTGAAACAACGGAAACTTAATATCAAGTTTAATACCATTTTTAATTTAACATATTATTTTAAAGGTATTAGAATTTAATTTTGATTGTAACCGAAATTTAATACTTTTAATTAAACAAGTTTTTTAAATCAGAAAAAGTTTTGACTTGGGTTAATATTTGAATCCGAAATCAAATCTATATTTTTTATTTGTTTTTTAATTTTTATTATGTATATTTTTTATTTTTTATTAATGATTACATGTTTTAGTTGAAAAGAAACATAAACATAATAGGAATTTTTATGGTCACCTAAACAAAAAAAGGTGATAATTTTTTTAAAACTGCAACTCAACATCTAAAATGAACGAGAACCTTTCTTCCATCAGTGTATGTATAAAGAAGTAATATGAAAATGTTAAATAGACATATATTAAGGAGTAACAAAACTAAGGCGCCAGCAGCACCATAAAGAATTTTAAATCCAAATATGAAATTGAAATCTTGAAACTGAGCAAAAGGCCAGAGTACAAAATCGTCCCAAAATGTTTGCCGAAAACGCGATACTTATCCAGCAGTAGAGTTTAACATGAAATTTTTACCTTGTGACATTCCTTGATAGAAAGACTATAACACTGCACAAAACTGTGGGATTCGTTTTTAAATTCATCTTCCTTCAGATCCTACTGTTTGTAATTAAGCACCACTAAAAAAACTTCATCAATGTAGAATGTAATATTATAAGTAAGTTTCCTTTTTCTTTCTTTCCTTTTCTTGCAGCAACATGCATGCTGATATATTCTTCAGAGATAAGTCTTTTAGATATGCTGATTACACTAATTTATGGTATGATAAATAATTTTTGTGGTTTTACACTTTTAATATTTATTTTTAAAATGTAAACAAATTCATTACAAAACTTATTTGTGAAATGTTACTGGAAAAGACTTAAAAAATGTCTTTCAAATAACTAGCTTTTGAAATTTAAAATAATACATTCCAGAAAATAATTTTTAGAAGTCATTTTTCAAGCCTTTAAATAAATTCTGAAATTAAGTTTTGGAAGATAAAACATATTCTAGGCAGTAGTTTTCTAAAAGTTGTTAATAAAAAAAATTGCCAAAAAGATAACAACGGTGAAGAAAACACCAATTTCATTATTGTTGATGACAGTAGAAAAGAAAGGCACGACTAAAGAAGGGTAAAAGAGTTATTTTAAAAGTTAGGAGGTGCAGGAAGAAATAGTCGAGTATAAAAACAAACTCTGAAGTGATTATTTCAATTGGGCCCAAGCGAGTTCCTAGTAATGGGCCTAAATTATTAGGCTTTTGCTTTCTGCACCTTATAATTACTAAATAGACCCTAAACTAGCCAAAAAACCGGAAATACCTTCCTCATTGTATCACAGCACCTCAAATGTTGCCACTACCATCATGGCCGGCACCGTAAAGAAAGAAGAGGAGAGATAAAATACCATAAAGGAACAAGAAAGAAAAAAAGAATGTGATGTAAAGAAAAGCTCTTTTCAAACGCTTGAATTTTTCTGTGGATTTGAACTTGTCAAACGCTTGAATTTTCAAAATGTTGTAGCTAGAAAAACATTTCATAGACTTTAACAAAAGCTGAACAGAAAAGGTGAAAGCAGTGAAAGTCAAACACGATTACATAAGGTGTTTAATTTTAAAGAAAGTTGAGTGTTCCAATTGTCAAGTTTATGTTATAGAAAATAAACAGGGTATATTTTAATCTTTGGCTTTACACTATTACATAACATTTTAAATTTTTTAAAAGAATATAATTTTGACCTTTCTTAATTTTTATCAATGGTTTCGATTTTAGTTTCTATTTTCAAAATATATATGTTTTCTCCGATCCTTAGTTTTCCATATGTTTATTTTTACATTTTAATTATTAAATTATGTTTACAGTACTTTAAATGAATAAGTAAGATTTAGAATTCACAAACAACACACAAATATCATCATTGAACCAATTTTTTTCTTCTAAAATTAGAAAATCAAAATCGCATAAAAAAAATCGTATGTAAAAAATTATAATTGATAATGTATGATATATGGGATAGACCCAACGGTCAACACCCGCAACCGTTCGGTATGTTACTTTTGTCTACGGTCAAAACAGATCAAATATTGAATCGACACTTAAGTTATTAATGTTTGGTCAGCACTTAAGTTATTGATGTTGGACCTACGCTTAAGTTACTGTAATTGGGTCAATGGTTTGGACTAATAAACAGCTAATAAATAACTAATAAATTAATTAAAGATATTGATTAAAATTATTGATTAATGATATTGATAACTGATTGTAGGATAAGGAAGTTGTTTGTGAGAAACAGATTGAATTTAAAGGTAAGTTCGTTTTATTGGACCTATGCTAGTTTAGGGTCCATGAAATAACTTATAAATAAAAGGCTAAGCCGCAAAACTAAGCAGGTTGAACTAATTTTGAGTACTCACTCTTTATTGAATATTATCACTATTATCACGCAAAGTCACTGACTTGAGTGTCGAAGTGCCTTTTACAGGTACCCTCCCACTCGGCTCGGACTGGAAGAAACTTGGAGCCAGAGGTTCAAAGCTTAGAGAGTAAGGAAGGAGTGAGCAGAAAGGTGTATCTCTCGATCCTATACAATTATATACAGAAACATTTTGACGCTCACCGTGGGACCGAGCGACATCCCCATGAAGCCACGAGGAACCAGACACGCGCTCGGTCTCAATATCGCTACTTCGGATCAATACATGGTTTTGCAGCAAGAGCAAAAAATTCCATAATAATTTCTAAAGGCGTGTCTTTTGTTTTGAAAACTTTCAAGTAACCATCAGAGGTTTACAAGGAAAAGAATTAAAGGCCTCCACAAAAAGGAAGATTATAAAATATTGAAGTGTTTACTTTATTTTGTTTAACGCATATATTTGTGAGTAAAAATATATTGCACAAGGAAATTTAGTCCCTTCTCGATTGGTTAGTTGGACCACCTATGTTTAGCCTTTCCAGGTTTCAATGGCTTGGCTCTCGTGCGAACATCACCTGAGCACCTGTACCCTCATTTACCGTATCCCGAGTGGGGCCTATTTATATTATCATAGTCAATGTCCTCATCTATTTTGTAGGTCACAAGGCAATAAAGCACCTACAACTCATCTGTGACACATCCTAATACGAATTCCTCATTTTTGGCCTTCAAACGTTCAACCGAAGACCGAACGGTCTCACTTGTCCGACTATTCGACTTCATAACCCAAAATATTTTAATATTAATTTGATTGGCTACATTTTTCTGACCATTCCAATTCAAAATATTAATTTTCTTTAGTACAGGTGATAGGGCCCTGCGTACAAACCAAGAGTTTATCGTTCAGTGAGGAAAGTTCTCCGTAAACTCTCACTTGAGTCTCTTCAACCAAATGGTCCCGCTTGTTCGGTCATTTGGCCTTGCAGCCTAAGTTATT